TTGCTACAGCAGCTGGAGACATCCTGCTGTGCAAACTCAGCACAAAGGAGGTAAGCTGGCAAGGGAAGAGAGATCAGTACTGAGGTATTTCAAAGGAAAGGATGACTGTTTTAATTTCTTCTGGGCCGTTCACAAGTTTATTGTATGTTGACTGTGGTTGGTCTCCATTCCCATCACAACAGATGAGCTGATTTCTCTTGGTGACGAGGGCATGATCAAGGGCAGAATATATACTCCATAAAATAACTGGAATCCAAATTAGCAGCCTAGTTCTGTATGTTTGCCCAGGGCAGGCTGGTGACACACGCAGCAGCAGGGGATCCACTGTATGAAGAGTCCCAAGGAACGGGATACGGCTGAGAGTAGGTACAGAGAAAAACTATGTATAGCTTGTAATTTAGCTACCTTTTTATGGCTTATTTTTATTATCAATTATTATGGAACGTTGTGCTGAAATATGGACTTAACTGCAGAGAGGAGAAGTTGTTGTATGTTATTTGAAGGCAGCAAGGAGAAACCAAAATATCTAAAAGTATGGCAGTAAGTGAGATATTTGCTTATTTGTACAATCTTCAGCAAGACCCTTTATGATCTCAGCAGCAATTTCTGAAATCTCTGTCAGCCCCCATTCCTGACACTCCCTGCGTGTGGGCCCAAGAGTGCCATTTACAGGGGGGTCTGAGAATAGTGGTCAGCATGGGCTAGCTATCAGGCTGTAATTATTTGCAGCTCACCCATGCTGAATCCTGCTTTGTGCAGATTCTTGGTTTGATTTGCCTACACCACTTAAATGTAAAATCAGAATTTGTCTGAAAAATATGCTTTGTATCTTGGCGTAATACATGTCACTACACTTGCACTGGCAGGTAGACTTGAGTTGGGATTTAACATCAGATCCTTTATTTCAAGACTTTTTGACTTGCTCTCAGCTTTAAATTTACATTATTTTGATGAAGACCAGGTACTGGGAAACAGCCCTGAAAGTTACTCAGCCTGTTCTGGAATTTTTTATGTGTGAGAGATGGTCATTCTGCCCAGTAGTGTCCAGGATGCCATTCTGTTTATCTGAATCATAGAATCACAGAATGCTGAAGGTTGGAAGGGACCTCTAGAGGTCATCTACTCCAACCCTCCTGCACACGCAGGGTCAGCTAGAGCACATGACACAGGACTGTGCCAGAGAAGGAGACTCCACAACCTCTCTGGGCAGCCTGTTTCAGTGCTCTGTCACCCTCATTGGTAAGAAATTTTTCCTTAAGTTCCTGTGGAACTTTTGGTGTTTCAGTTTGTGGCCGTTACCTCTAG